ATTGGTCACCTCGGCCAAGCAAGAAGTCGGTTTAATTTGAAAATTCAGCACTTATAAACATGGCCAGACCAAAAGGAATTTCATTGCGTATGGTCGATCAAAACGGCTAATTACAAAAGCAAGTGTCTAAAGGCACCGACACCAAAGGCCGAGCTTACAAAAAGGCGGTTACAAAAAATGACCTACCCAAAAGCCCGACCCCTAGGTAGCCGCTTTCTCCGTTGGATTCCCGTTGCCGACCACATCTATAATCAGTTCGTCATCCTCGGTTGATTGCACAGTTGCTCGGCTAAGAACAGTTTGACGAGGGGCTTCGGCATCCGGTTGAGCCCCTTGGGGAAACTCGGCATAGCTCATAAACCTGCTACCTAGGAAGTCTCGGCTAACATCAAATTGAAAGTCAGCCGGGACATCACAAAATTGATGAGCTTGCCGAACGGCGTGTTGGAAACCAGCGTTGTGTTGAGCGAGGATTTGCTCGGTGGCCTCGACCTCAAATTGCGCGGCTGCCTCTTTAAGCCGGGCGATCTCATTTGCAGGGCGGCGGCTTCGGCCTTCATCTTCTGCATAGCCAACTTCAGATCGTCGACCTCCCTACGATGGGCGTCGGCTACCTTCTTCAGCTCCTCGGCTGACTCGGTCGCCTTGGCATTAGCACTTAGGGCATCCTTCATTGTCGCCTCAGCATCCTTCAGGCGAGTTTAGAGCCTCTCAGCCGAGACGGTCGATCTCATCATCACATGCTTGGCCACGAGTGAGGTCCGAGCATCAAGCTCACAGAAGAGCTTATACTCAGCCTCCGTCGACATTCCCTCCAAGTATTGGAGTCCCCCTCCGGTGGTTAGGTTGAGGCTTACCAAATTCTCGACCTGCACGTCCGAGGCCAAGAAGTTCGACCTTGCCACAACTGCGGGAATGGCGAATGCCCCGCACCCCGCCTGCTCCAATGATAATTGCTTCGGTCGTTTGGATGAGGAGCTCGGACGTTCCAGCTCTATATTCTGCTCGGCTGCACGCACCCGAGACGTACTCCCCTTTTTCTTGGGATCAGCCAGGGGAATTAGAACTTGCGTGGGCTTGTCTCGCTGTACCCTGAGAGCCGACCTAGCTGGCGGCACTTTCCCACTCTCCTTCGCCTCCTTCGCCCGCTTGGCGAGCATCGCGGTTACGTCCAACTTGCCTCCGGCCATCAATCCTACAACAAAGCAAATTTTAACATCAATTTAAAAACTGATTAAGTAACCGAACCCTAGCACACATACCTAGCAAGACCATCTCAAAATGAGACGTCTCAAAGCTTTCCAATAGGTCTTGGACAGGAAGCTCTTTCGGCAGTTGATCTAACAAGTCCACAATCTCCTTGTCCTCGGCAGGGAGTTCTGAGGCAGGGATTGCCTCAAAGCGCGTCGGACGCCTCGTCCAGTAGAAGGGGAACAACGGGGAATCTTCTCGGTCGTAAAAGCAATCACGCATCTCCGACCCCCAGCGAACCTTGAAAAAGCCACTTTTAAACCCCTTGTACGAAGAGGTGAAGGCCCGTAGGAAGCCACGTTTCGGCACCCGAGATAAAGAAACCCACTTTACCGGCTTGCTTGGGCGGCAAGTATAATAATAAAGAAAGGTGAGTGGCCGAGGTGTGAGGCCGAGGCAAAGACACTAGTTCTGAAATGCTTGCATGGCCGCCCATGCATTAGGGTGCAATTGCGTCGGCGCAACGTTCAGGGTTCGGAGTACCCCCATCTGAAAATCATCAAAGGGCAGCTCTATGCCGAGGTCCTCGAACCAGCACACGTATGTGTAGAAGTAATCATCTTCACCAGGTTCCGCCTCCAAGAACACAAAATCAGTGTCCGGTCCATCGTCTTCACACGCCTCGGCAAGCAGCGGAAACTCCTCGCCCCACCCCCGAAGCACTTCTCAGAAGAAATGAATGTATCCAACAGGCCCTGGTCGGACAACTTCGAAATGTATACACCGACCTCTCCGTCCACCCACTCATACCTGTTAGTCAAGTAGCCTCGTGTAACTTAAGAGGGGGGTGAATTAAGTTATCTAATTTTTCTTCTCTTTATTAGTTTTTCTAACTTTTTTCTTATAAAATCAATATCTTAAACAATTTGTACGTAATGATTCAAAAACTTCACAACAAAATTAAAACTATAGGGATAGAGAATTGCAAACTTGATTTTATACTGGTTCGGCTAACCTTGCCTACATCCAGTCCTCAAGTCACCCACTTGAGATTTTTCACTATGCTTGTAACCTTTACAAGACTCAAATTCTCCAACACCTAGGAATTCTCTTTCCTCGTGTTGAGAATCACAGACCACCAAGGAGAACAACAATTTCCCCTTTACAGATCAATAGAAAAGATGAATGAAGTATAACAACTCTCTTTGAAGAGCGGATTTTACACTTGTTGATCTTAGTAGAACTCTTTAGATAATTTGCAAATGATTTTTGGCCAAGTGATTGTAAAGATAGTTTTTCACAACTGAGTTCGTAACCTTTGTCTGAAAAATTATTAGTATTTATAGATGATTGTTTCATAGGTCATAACTTTTCATGAAGAGTTGTGACTTTCTAAAATTTTCCAGAAAAATAGGCTCTGGTAATGGATTACAAGACTTGGTAATCGATTACAACGGTTTAGTTTCAAAATGATTGGAACGTTGTAAAGTTTAAATTCAAATTTTAAAATTTTCATCTTCTGGTAATCGGTTACAGGGAATGGGTAATCGATTACCAGAGCACGTTTTAAAGAGTGACTTTGAACATATGAGATTCATCCTTTGGTAATCGATTACATGTAATGGTAATCGATTACCAGACTCTTAAAAACAATAATTGCCTTATTAAAACTTAAAATATTGAAAACCTTTATTTTCAAAACCTTATTAATATAAATCATATTGGGTTTTCTTTGAAATTTTTTATTTTAAATGGCCAAGAACTTTATGCAATATTTCTAAAGATTTCTTTTTACATATTAAGCTAGGTTAACAAGACTTATCTAAAATATTTTGAGATTTTTGTTTCTTGGTCACCTTGCTTTAACTTGAACTCTTGTTTTCTTTAACTTCTTTGGCATCATCAAAATCTTTTAGATACGTTCTTCCACAATACCCTGGCATCTCCACGGTCCCATAGTCCACTTTCGGCTTAGTCCGGACATTTGGATCGGCCATAGCCTTGCCTCGATTATCCTCGACCATTTCCAACTCATCCCCATTGCCTTCGGCACGGACGGTTACTATGTGGGACCTCGGTTGCTCGGCCTGCGCTAAACCCCTGTCATCAACCTCGGTTGCACGAGCCAAAGCCACCGGCAGGGGCACCGGTGGCGATATCTCTACCACTTCATCCCCGCTGTCATCTCTCTCGGGATGGTCGGATGGGAACACCACTTCACATTGCAAAGGGGGCAACCTCGAGACCTCACTTGAATCTGATCCCTCGAGGCGTCCGATGCACCCGACGACATCCAACTCCTAGCCGAAGAGTAACCCCTATCCATTTATTAAGTATAAATTAATGTACAAAATTTACCTTGCTCGGTCGCTTCGATTGAATCTGATTTCGAGAGAACTCGGAAAAATTACAGCGAGTAAATTTCCACAACCCTCCTCCTATTTATAGGCGAGACGGGGAAAGTGAAAAGACATCTCCAAACCCTGACCATTCGATCAAAAGCATCCAACGGTCCACATTTAATAACCGTTGGGCCTGCAACCGCCAGGCCCAACGTGGCAAGCTACGCCCGCATAGGTCCCGGCATAATTCCCAATCATTCGCGGCCCCGACCCAGCTTCGGAGGTTGGAACCTTCGGCTCAAATGTCATCCACACAAGGCCTCGGTGCAATTTCCAGCTACTTGAGGTCTCGGCTCAATTTCTTACGCCCGAGCTATCGGTCCGGGCATTGACCCACACAAGGCGTCGACTCACCTTCACTTCGCAGGTCACGGCTCAACCATGCAACACACGGCCTCAGCATTACTTCACGGTCTAGGCAATACCCTAGACACCACCCAAGGCCTCGGTGCAATTTCCAGCTACTCGAGGTCTCGGCTCAATTTCTTACGCTTGAGCTCTCGGTCCGCCCATCGCCCCACACAAGGCCTCGGCTAACCTACTAGTTACACAGTCTCGCCTCCGTCTCTTACGCCCGACCTCTCGGTCTCGGCGCCATCTCACGAGGTTTACGGCAAATCATAGACACCATCTATCAAGAACTAGACCCTACTCCGCCTCGCCCTGGCATAATTTCCATTTACTCAAGGTCTCGACGAAGCTTCCTACGTCCGAACCCTCAGTCCAAACATTTTCCACGCTAAACCTCGGCACGCGTTCCCATTGAGATCTCGGCATAATTTCATACGGTTAAGACGACGTCAAAAACAGCGCTACGCATCTTATACCGTCTTCGTCTTTCCTATCCTTGACGCTGCGGGAGTTGTATACCGTATGGTGGCCGACTAGGCCGAACACCCGAACCCGCAAGTAATCGGATCGAACACCCGAACCCGTAGATGGTGAGGCCGATCACCCTAGTGTTGAGTGTCTTTTATGTATGATTTACACTCAACTT